GGACTTCCGAGCCTTCTGAGAAGGTCCGCCCCTTCTTATTTCCCCCCCCCGTCGCGCCGTCGACACGGGGGCGAGATGGGCGCGCGGGCAAACGCCACGTGCAGACGGTAGCGGAAGACCGATGCAACCGGCACAGGAGAGTGGCAGGGCGAAGGCCGACGGGCAGGTTTTGTGCTCTGCGCGGGGCCCCGGCTGCAGTGCGCAGAGCTGCCGGCCTGCTGGGCTGGCACGCCTACGCCACGCCGACCGCCGCAGCAGTGTGAAGTGCCCCTGTGGTGGCCACACAGAGTACAGTCGGAGCCTTGACCTAAGGAGCCCAAAATAAGGAACGAGGCCCCTTTTTTTCCATAAGTTAAACTCCTATTTCCGATCGAAAACATAAGGAAAATCCAAGGCAAGCTGCGAAAAAATTAAGGAACGCGGAGCCCTTCCCCAACGAAAAGGGTTCCTTCTTCAGGGCCCCGACTGTAGCTCTCGGCGGGCAGCAAAGGGAAAGGGCACCTACGGGTCTTTCGGTTACGGTAGGCTCGTGCGGCGCCGGCGCGCGCAAGGGTTTTGGCCACCGCGTCGATCGTTCAACATTGAGCCGATCGCGGCCCTGATCGTCCAAGGCCGTATTCCGTCGGGTCCTGTGGCGCTACCGAGCCACTCATTGCTCCCACGTCATTCTATCATGCGGAGTTCAACCTTGAGCGCCCTCGCCGGCGTCGCCCGCGTCGCCGGCGCTAGAAGGAGAAGAAGAAGAAGAAGAAGAAGAATAATAAGAAGAAGAAGAACAAGAACAAGAAGAAGAAGAAGAAGAACAAACGGCATAAACATAAACTTTTGGCGCTCCGTGTGGATTTCGTGGATCCGGGCTAGAACCCCCTCCCTGGCGCGCGGAGCGCGCCAGGGGCGGCGCCGGAGGCGCCGCAGGGCGGGGGCCCAGCGCGGATCCAAGAAATCCGCGCGGAGCACCCAAAGTTTACAGTAGGGCCCGACCACAAGAAACCTTCCACAAGAAACCCAACCCTGAGACCCCAGGGCGTCCCTTGATTTTTGGTGTGGGAACTTCACGCCTTCCATCGCAAAACCATCGGCACCCAAGAAACCCAGGGCACCTTGGAGGCGAGCGGGGTGTTTCTTGGCATGGGTCTCCACTGTATGTTTATGGCTTTTGTTCCTCTTCGATGGAACGCCTTCGCCTGCGTCGCCGGCGTCGCCGGCGTCGCCAGCGTCGCCGGCGTCGCCAGGGCGCGGCATCGCCGCATGAACGTACCGTACCGACCTGGCGGGCCCTGGGGGGCACCCCAGGCCGCTCTGCTTATTGGGCCTGGCGGCCCCTGACGTAGGCCGGGCATGTCCTCCTGCAGGCGGATTTTGGAAGAAAAATAAAACACGGCCAGAAACCATCAAGAATAGGCAACAGAGCACGAAACATCGTCACCATACTGTATGTTACGATTCTCGAAAATTCCTCCTGTAGAGGGACATGCCCGACTTTAACCTAGTGAGCCTTTTTGATTCGGCGTTTCGACATTGGGCGGAAGGAGGGGGAGGGGGGGGTCTGGCTCCGGGCCTCTGCTCGATGCGACTGTTTGCGACAGGGCGTCCATTGTGGGGGAGGCTCCACCTGCTCGAAACAGGCGACAAAAAACCGCCAAGATCCACTCCAGAGGGGGGGGGGGGGGCCGCGCCGATTGGCCAAACAGTGATGAAAAGCCGGTCACCTAAGGCCGCGTCGCTCACCAAGCCTGGCGGCCCCCCCAACGCTCTGGCCGCCCCCCCCCCCCCCCTGGACGCCGCCGCGCCCTCGGGCCCCGGGCCCTGGGGGAGCTCGAAGGGCAAGATTGCAGCCTGGGCAGAGAAAAACGGAGTAAGCATACATCGGGCATGTCCTCCTACAGGCGGATCTTGGACGAGAAATAAGAAAAGGTTCCAGAAAGATCCAAAAGTGGTAAACAGTACTCGGAAAATCGTCCCCATACTATTTTTTGACCATGTTTGAATTTTCGCGAGGGACACGCTCGACTTAACCCGAATAGACAAAGAAAAACGGCGTAAACATAAACTGTTGGCGCTCCGCGCGGGTTTCTTGGATCTGCGCTGGACCCCCTTCCACGGCGTGCGGAGCGCGCCAGGGGCGGCGCCGGACGCGCCGCCTGAGGGGGTGGCCAGCGCGGATCCAAGAAATCCGCGCAGAGCGCGAAAAGTTTATGGTTATGCCGAGTTTTCTTCTGTGACCTAGGTGTGACTACCAATCCAACCAAACCACCCCAGCCCGACCCGAAAACCCGATTTCGAGTTTGGGGGGATGCGGGTTCCATATGTTTTTTTTGTAAATTTTCCCCGACGCTCTCCCAACTGGGAATGGAGGACAAACTGGGGCCTTCGGATTGGGTTGGGGCGGTTTGGTAGATAGGGTACCATTACACCGGAAGCAAAATAAAACACTCCATCTCCCCAAAACAAACGGGCGGCGGGGGCAAACATGAAATACAGTAACTGACGCTCCCCCAAAAAATGGCGGCGGGGCCGAAAAGCTCAATCTGTTCAAACTCCCAATGAAAAACAGACGGCGAGTCTTCTTTGATTCAGTCTCGGAATATCATTGCTGGCTGCGCATTAGAATCAGGCGCCTCGCGTACGCTCCCGGGCGCCCCCGCCCAGCGTGCGCAAGCGCTCCCAAGCGCGGGCACAGGCGCTCCCGCGCGCCTCCTGGCGTTGCCAGGCGTCCGCATGCGCTCCATGTCGCTCCCCCCCCGGCACTCGCACGCGCTCGCCAGAGCGCGCAGGCGCTCCCAGGCGCTCGCATGCGCTCTCAGGCGCCCCCCTGGGGCACTCGCAAGCGCCTGCGAGCGCGCGCGGGCGCTCCCAGGCGCCGGAGCTTGCAAACTCATGTGAAAAAACAGGCGCGGGGAACAGCCAACAAAATGGCGGCGGGCTCGCCGGCCAAAATCTATTCAGAATGCTGGCGGCGGGGGATGGGGGGAGTCAATTCAGCAACTGCAGTGAGCACCGAAGAAACCGGGGTGACACAGGGGTGCCTCCATTGGGGGCCCGGGGCCCGCACGGGGGATGGGAGTCTGGGGGCCCGCCCCAGCCTCTGGCCCCAGGCCAAATCTTTGCCCTCGGGGCCTCGGGGCGGCGCGGGCCCCCAGGCAGGGCGGGGAGGGCCCCCCCAGGGTCTTACCACCTCGGGGCCCCCTGGACCCTTCGTGCCGTGGCCTTCTCCGGCGCCGTCGGCGCGCGCCGGCGTTCGGGCGAGGTGAGGCACCCGAGGGGTGCGTGTAAGCCACGGGTGCGCGGGGGGGCAGCGGCGAGGCCCGAGGGGGGGGGGGGCGAGCGAGAGGGAGGGGGAGAGGCCCGAGCTGCCTCTCGACTGCCTGCGCGGCTCCTGGCGGTCGGCAGCGGGGCCGTGCTCGGGAGGGGGGAGCGTCCTCCTCCTGCAGAATGCGGCGGGCAGGATCCTCCACAGATCTCAGCAAGTCCAGGGGGAGGGGGGTGGAGGAGGAAGAAGACGAGGGTGGAGGAAGGAGGACGCTGTGCTTCCCAGTGGGGTGGAAGGTCCCCCGGGGGGCCTATCGGCCCTGAGGCTTGTTTGCCTGGAGGCATGTGCCCCAGGCCATCGGCCAGTAGCTGTGACCCTGCGGGGGGCTTATAGCCCCAGAGGAGTGCGCCTCGTTTGGCCGCTCGGCCGCTTGGCCGACGAGGCGCACTTTGCGGTGCGAGCGAAGCGAGAATCAGAAACAAGGGGCACATCGTTGGCGAGAGATGGGGCACGGATGCGAGTAGGCGGTATACGCCAACTTGTGCGCCGCACTGCGCACAGGTCCGTGGCGTTCCCGGCTGAGGGCCGCACAGCTCCCACAGGGTGCGAGCGACATGCTACGTCTCATCTGGCCTCTTGGCCGTGAAGCTCACTCCCAGTCCGCCGAGGCGCACTCTGCGGGTGAGCGAACTTGAAGCGAGCGCGAGAAGCAAGGGGCACTGGACGGGATTGAAACGAGACAGGGATGTGGGTTGGCGATATGCACCACCTTGTGCGCCTTACTTCGCACGCGTCCGAGAAGCACCAGGCACAGGAAGACGAGAAGCGGGACATGGTTGCGGGGTGGCGGTGAGCACCAACTTGTGTGCCACGTTGTGCACGCGTCTAGCTCACTCCCATTCCGCCGAGGCGCACCCTGTGAGCGTAAAGCGAGAGCGGAGAGCGAGAGGCTCAGGATGGGCGAGACACTTGTCATGGAATACGGATGTGAAATAGCGGTGTGCGCTACCTCGTACGCTACGCTGCGCACACGTCCACAGCGGTCCCGGCTGGGAAGGCACAGGTCCTGCGAGGATGCGTGCGATGTGCCTCGTCCGGCCGCTCGGCCGTGTAGATCACTCTGGGTGCGCGGGCAGCGAGCAAGCAAGAGGCACAGGATGGGCCAGCAACGTGACAGGGATGCGGGGTGGCGGTACGCATCACCTCGTGCGACACGCTGCGCACAGGTCCGTGACGTTCCCGGCTGGGAAGGCGTGCCTCCTCGTTCTGGCCGCTTGGCCGTGTAGCTCGCTCCCAGTCCGCCGAGGAGCACTCCTCTGCGGGTGAACTTGAAGCGAGCGCGAGAAGCAACGGGCACAGGATGGACGGGGCAGGGAGCGCGGGTGAGCGTGAGGCGAGAGCGAGAAGCAAGAGGCGCAGAGTGGGCGAGACACGGCACGAAGATGTGGGGTGGCGGTATGCACCACCTTGTGCGCCACGCTTCGCACACGCCCGCGAAGGAGGAGGCACAGGGTGGGCGAGAAACTGGACATGGAAGTGATGAGGCGGTACGCGCCACCCTTGCCCACGTTGCGCACACGTCCTTGTGGCGCATTCCCACGATGATGATGGTGATGATGATGATGATGGTATGATGATGACGAGGAGGCGGAGGAGGAGGAGAAAGAAGAGGGCAGGGAGGATAAGGAAGAGCCGCGACGACTGGAGGTGTCTGGGCAGCCGTCGTCGCCCGGAGCAGGGAAAGGGCGGC